GGGGGGGCATGACAGAAAATAATTGAGCACCACTGGCCTAATCGTAATTGCTAGCTTAACAATCACTGTTACCGTCAGCCTACGCAGGTACTTACAGTTAGTTTCTGTTCTGCTTTATCACCTCACCTTTGCCCACAACAGTCCTAACCTGACTTGGAGAGACATGCAGCATCTGTCCGTCCTGACTTCTAAGAGGAACCAGCTTCACGACGATGTCCATCAGTGGAGGAGAAACGGAGTGGGCCTGGAGTTCAACCACCTGTTCGGTTATGGGGTCCTTGATGCGGGTGCCATGGTGAAAATGGCCAGGGACTGGAGAACTGTTCCTGAGCGTTTCCACTGCGTGGCTGGATCCATTCAGGAAACACAGTGAGACCAATTTTCATGATTTTCGTTGTTGACGTTGGTGTTGGCAAACTGTTTTTTAACTCAGTGACCAACCCTTATTTCACCGGTGGGTAATTTTGACGAGGTCAGATTCAAAGAAACGTCTGCAGCAGTAAAAAGACACTTTAATATACACACCATCTCCTAAGGCTTGGATTTGTAATATTATTGTCTTATAGCTGTCTACGTGTTCGTTAGTCAATTAGTCTTTTCACAATTCAATTTAAATATCCAATAGCTGTGCAGCGGATTTACTGATTTAATTAAGACAATGGTTGAAATGAACTCCCCGTAGGTTAGCTTATTATTTTAGGGACCACAGCTTTTATTGTTTTTCAACACGATTATCGACTTGTTCACATGAAACATGAACTCATTTCTAGCATTATACTTTTTTTTTTTTTTTTGGTTTTTGTTGCTTTTACTTCCACGCATTCAGGTAAATAGCCTAATAGGCAGAAAAATGCTAATGAGCAAATATCTTAAAACTCAAAATAATTTTTTATGGCTAAATATTTGCGAAGTCACCAAAAATCTTGCATCACATCATGATCATATATATATTAATTATATATATGTGTGTGTATATATATATGTATATACAGTGTGTATATATGTATGTACTGTATATATGTATATACGTATATATGTATATACGTATATATGTATATACAGTGTGTATATATGTATGTATATATGTCTATATATGTATATATATGTATGCATATATGTATATGTGTATGTATATGTCCCTGGTGCTGTGTTAGTGTGTCCGTTCTTGCTGCCTTCCTTTTGTACAGCACGTCTGTTCTTGCCTTGTTTCACCCATAATCCCGCCGCCGTTCCTCCACACACTTCCTCATACAGTATACAGTGCCCGTAGCCTCCGTCCCTGCCATTCATTTCTCTTCCACTCCTACTCACCGCTGGGTGATGCCTGGTGGTTTCCTGTGTCCTACCTTCTTATTCATTTCAGTTAAAGCCTGACAAATGGCTCGACACGGTTCGCCCTGGAAGAGAACTGTCAATTAAACTGACTCACAGCCAGGGGAATATTCCAGGTGGCAGTGTGCATGTGTGTGTGAACCTAGACTTACAGATTTGCATTGTGAAAGTGACAATGTGCGGGTAAAGATAAAAACCCCCCCGCGCCTGAATAAAGGGTGGCGGGGCAACGCCAGCGCCCCCCCCCCCCCATTAACAACTCCTTGTCCTTATTTTAGTGTGTAATCAGTGCTGCACAGATGATGCACACTGTCACGACAACATGGTGTGATAGTTGTTCAGTGTGTGTGTGTGTGTGAGTCAGTCTCCCCAATGTGCTGTTGCAGCAACAAAAGGAGCATCCCTGAAAAAGAGACATGACCCCTGTTCAATCCCTGAGGACCTCGCACGCTAATACGCCAGCGAACCTGCCATTACGTGCAGATTGCCGGGGCTGCATCGATCATTCTGGGTTTCAAAGACGTGGGGGAACCTTTCATTATCTAAAACGATAACCGCTCATCACGTCGCTGTTTATGCCGGGCGACAATGACGAATTGTAATTTCCATGCTATTTCCGTGCCGCGTGCTAACAACGCTACACGCCACTAGCCGCGCCTGTTGGACTGTTTCCACAGCAGCACCACGCAGCTTTTCTCGCCTCTGTTGTGGTGGAGATATGATTGTAAAAAAAAAACAAAAAACAAGCTACCTCTGATAATAATGCATCAAAAAGAAAAGTAATAAACACCAACGCAGCCATCCTGGCAATCACGGCGCTCAGAGCTTATCTAATATCTGCTCCGGCAGCGGCTTGCTGGGCTGTGGGAGATCTTTTCATTATGAATGGAGATGTCACGCAGTGGCCCCTCTGTGCAGGAGGGTTGGTTTTAATCTCCACTGCTCCTGGCCTTCAGAGTGAACCTTTCCCACACTGTAATTACTTTCTTGTAAATAATAAAACAAAACCTTTTCACCCCGATACAGACGCAATGAAATGGTACACTCAGAGTCCAACTCATATATTTACATATACATTATGATACGTTTTTTCAAATATTACTGCCTTTCTGACTAATAAAATACACTCATATAGGATACAGTAAAGTGATCATCAACTGCCGGCCCGCTGGCCGAATCCAGCTCGCCGAACCGTCTTATTCGGCCCGTGACAGCAATTCAAAATATAAATTAAATAATATTGTTCAACAGAAATATAATATTTACTCAATTTTATTTGACTGTCCAATCTCCAAGGTATTTGTCCAGATTTTTTTTTTATATTGTACTTAAGTATATATTGTATTTATGTATGTACATATATGTATTAAAATTCATCAAGCGGACCCGACTGAACACCCTAGCGGTCCGCTTATGGCCCGCAAGCCGTATGTTTGCCAGCCCTTCACTAAAGGTTTTCGGTCCTTCATACTGACGCCTGCAACTTAACTAAAATATCCTGGATTTTCGTGCAAACACAACACAGAGGAAGGGAGGGAGGGAGAGACAGTCTGTGCGTGGGGTACTGTGTGTGTGGGGGTGGGTGTTTACCGATTGATCCAAGACGTAGAGAGTCCTGATTGGTCAGTTCGAGTAAGCCTCAGAGTCATCAGTCTTCATCCCGGGGAGGCTTAATCTGTTGTTTACCAGAGAGGATTAGTCGGTTTTTTGTGTTTCCCAAATACGAAACCCACTTCACTTCAGACTACACCTACATGTCAGGATGAACAAACGATACAAGTGTTTTTCACAGTGTACTGCAACAGGGATTGTTAGATTACGCAGGAAAGTAAAAAGCAATTGTAAAAGGCATCCTGTTGGAAATAGTGAATTTTTTAATTTGATACTGATATCGATACGTCGTGTCCATGATCACATGGAGTCACTGCTCTCTTCTGGTCAGTGGTCACGTGACTCGAATGGGGGGGGGGGGGGGGGGGGGGGGGGGGGGGGGGGGGGGGGGTTGCGCACACAACAGTCTGTATGTAGTAGGTTACCCTAAAATATGTGGAGGTATTTATTAATTAGTATCAATACTTTATGAAAGTGATCAATACTCGTGCGTATCAATATATATATATATATATATATCAATACCGTGGAATTAATACTGGTTGAAAAGTGAGGCCTTAAAAGACCTGATCGATGATGTCATAAAAAAATGTTATTAAATATTTTTAGGATTTCTTTGATACATTGTCATGTAATAGATGTCAACCTTCTCAAGTAGGGGGGCGGGCCCCTCGGGGGGGGCGTTGTAAGGTACCAGTTGGGTCGTGAGGGGCTTCCAATGGAATATGGCATACTGGACATAAGTGTACCACTGCTGTAATTGAATGATAACAAGCCTCCAGTCACTAGGTGGCAGCAACTCATACAGTGGTTTGTACTCAGTCGGTTCTCAATAGTATTTCAATTTGCGGGGGTGTGGGTCGGAGGGGGGCGTGAAAGCATTTCTGTCCTCAAGGGGGAGGCATGACAGAAAATAATTGAGAACCACTGAGTTAGGTTAGGTTATAACCAGGTGGACCGTGTGTCTGTGTGTGTGATTTCCAGCTGAACCAACACGGTTCTGCTTTTCTGGGAAGAGTCATTTGTCGTCTCGCTGATGCACTCACCTCTCACTGCTCAGCCTTATATTTGATTCATCATTTTTCTCCCTATGTCGCTAATTCCCTCCCCATTTGTCTCAGCCCGCGACAGGGTTTTTTTGGTGTGTCGACTTCCACGGTTTTTGTTCACCGCTGTTCCCCCCGCTGTGTTGCCACTCAATATTTCTCTCCCATCAGCCATTGAGAAGAGAACAGTCTGAGTGTCTGGTGCAAAGAGCAGTCGGCTCTTTACGCAGTGTTCTGAACACATTCACAGGAAATGGACCTCACAATTTGAAACGATTTATAGTCGTCTCGTTTTACCACTACGAAGTGTCTTGGTTTTATAGCAGGGTGTTAAAATGACGGTTTCCAACATAAGAACATTTCACTCTCTCTCTCTCTCTCTGTCTGTCTCTCTCTCAGCTTCTCTTTTTGAAAATTGATGTTTCCATCTTGCAGTTTAACACATGGATTATCTAAAAAAAAAAAAAAAAAAAAGAACTTGTAATGAGAACTTGACTTTACTTTTAATGCCGTATCATCTTCTGATGTCAGTGTGTTCTGGTTTTACAAACTGCCATAGTGCAGTGCAGCGGCCCCTCGTTTATCGCCGTAGATAGGTTCCAAGGCGTGCCGCGAGAACTGAATTTCCGCAGAAAAGGAAGAAGTAGCACGTTTGGGATGCATTACAGGGGGTGAAAATCGAAAATTCAAGAGAAGTGCAACGCAAAGAAATCACAAAAAAAAAAAAAAAAATCACGAATCAGTGAACTGCCTGGACCAGAGAGACAAGGGATGCAGTGGGATCTGGACATCAGTCAAAGCACCAATCACAGGCCCGATCAGGAAGCAGGAAGCTGTGATTTGTCGTCTACCTCCCATTAATATTTCAATGTATTTCATATTTTATTGTACTTGTATTTATTACTGTACAGTGTATTTACGTTTTAATGGATTTAATGAGAAATTTTGAGGTATTCATATATTGTATTGCAATATTTCTAGAATTTTCCAGAAAATCCGAGATACAGTATATTCTATATATACAGTTTTCAAAAACCCGCAAAGTCGTGAATCCGCGAAAGATGAACCGCAAAATAGCGAGGGACTACTGTACTACCTTTTCGTTCCTGTAGCTACTTCATATATACCTGGACGACGAGAGACTAGCTTGGCAGCATAAGTCAAAAGGGAAAAACAAGTGTTCTTAATATAATGTCATAACACTTTTGCCTCTGTTTTCCAGTAAAATCCAGTCGGGCAGCAAGCTGGTTCTGGCCATCACCACTGAAGCCTGCCAGGGGAAGGACAACTTCGTCCGCTACCTGGAGCACGTCCAGGCGGTGGTCACCGTCAATGCCAGCCGCCGCGGGGACCTGAACATCAACATGACCTCGCCCATGGGCACCAAGTCCATCCTACTGAGCCGCAGGCCTCGCGACGACGACTCCAAGGTAGGCTTCGACAAGTGGCCCTTCATGACGACCCACACCTGGGGCGAGGACCCGCGAGGGACCTGGGTCCTGGAAGTAGGCTTCAGCGGTGACGAGGAACAGCGCGGCGTCCTGAAAGAGTGGACTCTCATGCTGCACGGAACACAAAGTGCACCTTACATAGACCAGATAGTGCGTGATTACCAGTCCAAACTGGCCATGTCTAAAAAGGAGGAGCTAGAGGATGAGCTGGATGAGGCGATAGACAGAAGTTTGAAGAGTTTGATGAGTAAAACCAACTAAAGAAAAAGGAAAAAAAAAAAATCTCGTCCGCTTGCATGTTGCCAACTCTTTTTCTTATCCTCTATCTGAATCACTCTATCCTCTTCATTCCTCGGCATCATCCTGGGTTTTCCCCAGTTTCATTGCCCGTCCTTTGTTTTGCCTTCCTTCCTCTTATTAGTTTTTGCTAACCAGTGTTTCATTTAGCCCCCCTCACCCCCCAACCTGTAATGAATGTTTCATGTAATCCAGTCATGGTTAAAGTGTAAACGTCAGTGATCTGATCAGAGAAGGTAGAACGGTAGCGTGTGAATTTGTGCACTCCGCACTCAGATTTGTACATAAGCCAAATTGAATCCACTCTTTCGTGCTTTTCCGTTGACCAGCCCCGCGCCTCTCCTCTGCCAACTGTTATACAGTTTGTGCCTGTAAATGATTTTCTGTGTCATTCTAGTTAAAGTTTAATATCTTGCAAACAGAGCAGTGAAACTTCTTTCTGTTTATATTTTTGTGACATGCACTGTTTCTATAAACACGGAAAGGGATTACGATTCATTTTGCAGCCTGTGGCCCCTCTGTTCATACTTCACATTCTTTAACATGTACCGTAATAAATCTACTCAGACTATTTATTAAGGCACCCGAGTGATTTACGAGGCTCTGCGCAAAACGCAAAGTAGAAATAGATTGTCATCGGTTGTGGTGAAAAATTCTCGCCAGCTCTCGGTTGAATTCTAACCTTGTTTTTCTAAGTATGTATTGCGCTGTCCAATATACTCAAAGCATCAACGAACGATAACAGTCAACAAGAACGGTGGAAATTTAAACAAAATACACTGCAACAAAAAAGTATTCTATTAATTATTTTTTCATTTTCTGCATTTCTCTCTATTGTCTCTTTTCTTTTCTTATGCAGTTCATTTATATTCTAAAGACATATTTGACCACGTTCAAAGCACAGTGTGACAAATCAGGGACATATAAACCTGAAAGTATTCCCTGTGGATGATCGGATGATTAAAAATTTGAGAAAAAAAAAAAAAAAAGAAAAACTATCTTTTAAAAGTGAAAACAGGAGGTCATGTGATTCGTTCCTACGGTGTGGCGTCACTCGATTTTCGCCGTTAGTCACTCACTGTCGCTAACACAGTTATAACATCATATTAATCATAATCTAGGACATAAAAACATCCGAAGAGTCTCACTTACACCTGGGAGTCATAATGAAGGGCAAAAGTTCCCAAAAAAATCATGACAAATGTAAGAAAGAGAATGTAGCGCAATCCATACAACAGGCCAGTGTGTAAGAAAGAGAATGTAGCGCAATCCAATAGTACAACAGACCAATATAAACAAAGCCGTCGTCTGCGTATAACGCCACGCGACAACGCATTCGTCCGTTCTGGTTGACATCTAATTTCTTGTATGCGGTGTGTGAGACGTGTCATTGAACCACACGCAGCACTTAAATGCCAGGGTGTGTGAGACGTGTCATTGAACCACAGCAGCAGCAGCATTTAAATGCCAATTGTTTTTATTGTTCCAAATATCAGCAAGCAAATTGTTACACAGCAAAATTGTGATGAGAGCAGGCAGTGGCATCGACGTGAAGAAATTAAACTGCGGGGGTTGATTATTTTAATCGAGTTCTTCTTTTGTTACCAGGGTGATTCAAAACGTTAGATGAGACAGATGCTGTAATTTATTTATTTGAAAAAGTACAATTTTAATAACCAAAAGTGTTAACACAGACTTTAGGACTCTATCGTTGTCGAATGTTGAGCTACGCTCACTGCTTTTTCCAACCCTCGGAAATGTTATTATCAGATCTAGTTGTTTTCAGTTTCATTTTTCAAACAATAGAAAATAGTAAATATGGGAAAAAAAATCAAATGTAAAAATATTTGTCAAAGCAGAAGGAAGCCCAAAACACTGGCCCTTTCAACATTCTCTTGGGAGTTTCATTATTCATTAAGTAAAATTTTGGTCATTACTATTGAATCTGTTAGCGACATTGTTAGTGTTTCACCGAGTCGTAACTTTCTGCTGGTTTCACTGTTTCTTCTTGCGAGACTTCTCAATCGTAGTCTCCACAACCATGGACGTCTCCTCGTACCTTTTCATGTCAGGACCTTTGGTGAACTTCTCTACAGACTCCATCATTTTCACCTTCTCGTAGCTCAACGGAGCTCCGTTAAGGCCGCCGGAGCTGGTGCTTGTGCTGAAACTGGAGCTTGAGCTTGTACCGGAAGGCAGACTTGGGGTGGGATCCTTTGAGTCGAAGCTTGGGTCCATGATCGGAGGGGTGTGGCGTGACTCTTTAGAAGGAATCTCCTCGCTCTTGTGCTTATTTTTACCTCCTGTCTCCTTGTCTCTTGCACCCTTATTACCCTGCTTAGCCCCTCCATTAATGGGCAAAGTTGGGTCCAGAGACTTCTGGTCGCCCATGGGCGGAGGTGGTGGAGGAGAGGGTGTGGTGTGTCCGTAAGGCTGATACGGAGCCACCATTCCATCTCTGATAGTGACATAAACGTGGCCGCCCGATGGAGTGGATGTGTAGAAACAAGGGTCGGAATAGCTGCTATCGCCGCTAACAAGGACGTAGCGACCCTTGGTGTAGAAGTCAGCCGGTGGTTCAGGCCTCCTGTACCTCCTCATTCTGTCTCTGACGATGTTGCGAAGGGTGTCAAACGCTCGGCTGATCTGCGCTCCATCTGGAACGTCTTGCGGAGACATTCCGGAGAGGACAGGCCTCTGATCTTGCTTCTTCACCCTCTCCTTGTCCACTTTCTCAGACAGGGTAACTTTTCTTTCTTCCTCTTGACCTTCCCCATGAGCTCCTCCTCTCCTCCCATCGAGGCCACTTCCATTTGCATCGTTTGTGCTCTGCTCTTTCTTTTTCAGGATCCTTTTTGCCAGATTCTTCTGGCGAGGCTTGATGCTGGTAATGTCTTGGAGAGCGTGGGTGATATCTGAGCAAACATGGAGCCAAAATAAACCCGATAAGCCAGGGAAAGAAAACACTGTGCAAACTAGAGTCGGGGTTCAAGAAAATCAAGACACTCACTAAACTGAGTGTCTAAGAGACAGTAGCACAGATGCCAACAATAGCAGCTTGATTGTATTTGCTTCTAATAGTTATTCTAAATTGAAGGCAGCTGTGACATGCTAATGGTACCCTTACCTCTCATTCCGCTCGATGTAGTCGGTGTGTGAGTGTAGTGGCAATTAGCGCTGAACATGGAAATTGGAGTACCAAGGATTGCTGAATTTAACCTGCAGGAACAAAAGCAGCAACCAAAATGAAACGTCTTCGACAGCCAGAGCAGCTTCACATTACTAAATAAACAATTTAGTCATGATTCGCATTATTGAAAAAAGAAGATAATAGCTAAAGGTTAAAACACCAGAGTGAACCCAATGTGAAAACAATTTTGATACTTCTTTTCCAGGCGATTGTGTTGTCGCACATTGCCATCTGGTGGCGGTTATTGTACACTACATTTGTTTAAACCCTAGTTACTGCCTAAATGACTTCCAATCAGAGGTGGTAGTTGACGTACATTTAATAGTACATGTAGTAGTTTTGGGACTAGGTAATTGACACTTAAGTACATTTTGACTCAAGTATTTTATTTCTCTACATTGTAAAACAACGTGTTACTGAGTAAAAATTAAATGCGCAAAAAAAAAAAACAACCCCAAAACAATCTGCAATAACTGAAAAGAAATTTGGCGGCGTGCATTTCCAACTATTGTAGCCAGATAACGTTGCCTAAGAGACGGACTCTCGCCTGTCGTTGGAGGATGGCAGGTGCTGAACAGGAAGTTGATTTTGAATGCCAAGCAGGGAGCACCTGTGGAGCCGAGGACTCAGAAAGAGAATTAAATCGTTGGCCATATCTCAACTAGCTCTTAGTTTTCAAATAACTTTATCGTGCAGAATGTGCCTGCCTCGGCGGACGGAGCTGTCGCTGTCGAAACTTCCACGTCAAACCTGCCAAAGCGTGTGGCGGTAAGTAGAGTATCTGTGTTTTTGTCTGTGTATCTCAAACGCTATGTTTTTTGTTTGGTTAAAACTTTTTCCGTTAAGCAAAATGTGGCCTCGTTATATCAATTATTTCACCTAGCTTAGCTTCCATGCTGATTTATATCAATTATTTCACCTAGCTTAGCCTCCAACTAACGCTTCAGTGGAGTAGCCCAGTTTAAGTGAATCGCCAGAGCACAGCCAGAAATAATACGAGTGTATGATAGTAATTGCACTTATTCTCTAATGAAGCCATTTTAATTCATGTATAATAGACTAGCTGGTTTGTTGTTCGCGGGTTAGCGCTACGCACTTTAAAAACTAACTGCTCAAACTAAACTGGAGCTTTCAGTGTAGCAGGGCACTTCATTTAATTTCTTTATACTAGCAGTCAGTGTGCTCGTTTGTCAGTTAGGACAATTGATATTATTCTTTAGTCAGTCATTTGTATTTAAGTGGGCTTTAGTGGCTTGAATTTTTAGTGTAAGCGTTCAAATAGATAAAAGAATTCTCAACTTATATCACTGGCATTTGAACTGTTAAAAATAACTAGTTGCAAATTAGATGCATGACTCGTCCAATTTGCATCAAGTAATTCAAAGTAACTAAGTAACTTTCTCAAAGTAATTCAAGTTTATTTTTTACTTTCACTCAAGTAGAATTTTGAGTGGAATTTAAGCATAGTAAAATACTTTTTATCCACCTCTGCTTCCAATATTTATCACCAATATTCATTTAAATAAAAGTGAATTGTAGATTGAAATATAGAAGATATTGGTCAATGTTATACTTAATAACAGGAAATGGGAAAATAAAACAATAAAACATGTACCTAATATCTTATATAATATACTATTTATGTATATATATATATATATGGTGGGATGTAATTATATACAGTTTATGTATGTGTGTATGTGCAGTTATGATATAAGATTTCATCATTTCCACTTGGATGTTTTGTCAACCAGAAGAACTCAGCCTACCTGCTGCCCTCGTTCTCAATGATCCTCTTGTAATTCTCCAGTTCGTTTTTGAGCGACGTCTGGTGCGTGGCCAGGTGTCGGCATTCACAGATGAACTTCTCCAGGGACCTCTCGGCTTCCTCGATCTCCTTTCGTAAGGATTCTATTTTCTCATTGTACATCTGGATCTCACTATCGTACCTGTCCTCTGTGTTTTTAAAGGTTTGCTCTAACATCATTGTCTGCCAGAAAGGAAGAAGGGACAAAGTTTAGCTTATTCAGCTAATTATGTGTTGAAATTTAATGCTCAAATAAGTGGTTGTGTAAAGTTTAATGATATACTATTTTCTGGCATATGTACTGCAATACAAGAAATGCCAACGTATTTAATTTTAAGTGTATTCTTAAAATAAAATATCTAGTAAATCATGGCAATTAACATAGGTGGAGATCATTTCATTCATAGCCATGATTTTTAATATTTTTTTGGTATGTAAAAAGCTGTTTTTATCATTTTAATGTTAGCTAGTGTCCAGCAGGGGGTGCTCACGATGTTCTGCACTGAGGGGAGATCTGATTCCACTATGTTTTCTAACATAATTAAGCAAGAAAATTATTTTCATAAAAAAAATCAGTTGTCATAAGTTGTATACGACCAACCTTAGAAAGAATATTAACAAATAAGTATTAGAAGGTGGGGAACTCATGACTAAAAGTGTAGGAAAACAATTAATAAATAAAATTAACATAAAAATGTAAAACAATTTACATTAATACGAAATAAAACTGTTAAAAATGTAAAACAATTTACATTAATATGAAATAAAACCACTTACTTTCAACTGATGTGTGTTCTGCTATAGTCATAAAAACTATTAAACGAATTAAATAATTATTATAAAATATTATTTAAAAAAAGATAAAAAAAATAGGGTCAATAAGAAAATGAACAGATCTCTGAATATAAATGTATATATACATATATGTAAATCTAATGTATTTCTCACTAGCTAGCTATAACTGTTACTCTTTTGAAAATGTATTTTGAGTTGTCAATGTAAGAAACAAGTAATTCACGGAGACTTGTTGTCATAGTGACCATGTACACCACCTCAGTCTGTAGGCGTTGTTTCTGAGCCTGAAGCTGACAAAGGGTGCTCTTGTATTCCTCCAACTGACTCTGAAGCTCCGGCACCGTCCTCTGCACCTGTACATGTAAACACGTAATTACAAATTTTATTCTTATTGTGGCACAAATATATATACATGCTATTTTAATTAATAGGAATATTGGAATGTCATATATATGTATATATATTTATGTATGTTAAGCTACATAATACTGGATAGAGATAAATGAGGAATTCTTAAGAAACCATACGCAAACAATTTTGTTCATCTACTCCCATCGACTCATTTGACTACTTTTAGATTTTTGTTTTCTTTGTATTTTATACTACAAATATACTTGGTTCCAGAATATGAGTGATCACACTTTCAGACTAAACAACACCATTATAGATAAAATGATGGAAATAATATAGACACATGATGGATGGGAAAAAAAATGAGCATGCAGGGCCAATCTTTGTGACATTTGCTTCAAAGGGTGACATTCAATCATATTTACACTGCCAACATGTCTCCAGTTCTGTTAGATAGTGTGTCTTGTAGAGCCACTGGGCAGTAACCTCATCAACCCTGCACACATATCGAGGTGTGACACATGCAAACACCATCCGGAACGCAAACACACCAGCACATAAGCACACACTCTGACCACATTAGTGACCTCACCTCAGAGATGCCCACTGACCCATCAAGAATAGGCGGAATCGTTTGGTGGATTTGATGCAGAACGTCCACGTACGTCTGGATCTCTGCAAGGTTCTGCAGCAATCATTTATAGGAGGAAGAATATAATATACACAATATATTGCATCCTAGTAATGTAACCCGTAACATATTATGACATTTAAAGTAATATATTTTCATTGCTTAGACAAAGGTTTCCTCTCAGCCCAACATCTTTTAATATCATGACTGTGGAATAATAAACACTTTCTTTTTCTCTCCCCTGCCCTACCAGCCAGCTAACATATAAATGAATCAAGTGTATTGTTTGCCCCCTAAGCCACAACTGGCATTTATTTGTCTCTGTTGTGATGTAGCCTAGTCTCGTACAGCGCTAAACAGCTGAGCCTAAATTAGCCAACTGTCCACCTGCATAGCTACTAGACGCTGGACAAAATCAATAATTGATATAACGTGATGACCACCGCACAACTAATTTGGGGAGAATTTGATTCATTGGTAGAGCATGTGAAGCTATGAGTATACTTAAGCTCCCTGTCCCTGTCTCCTTTGTCCCAAGAAGTACCTATTCATACTGCTGGTCTCTTTTCATTTACCAATTGCAATAGAATGCCTAGAAAGGAAAGGCTGCCTGGAGAAGCAGCTCTCTGCCCTCCAGGATAAGCAGCCAAGGAGGATGAGGAGGCTGGCGTACCTCCTCAACCCATTAATATTTTGTTGTTTAAAAAAAAAAAAAAAATCTCACACTGCTATAATAAAACAGCCCCAAAAGGTTCCTCTTATTACGTGCCCCCAAAATGGGGTTTGGTTACGTATGGTATGTTGCCAACATAGCAGCGTTTTTCAACTTTTCACCTAATTTGTGGTGCTATATGTGGAAGAAGCCACAGACATTTTTGCCCTTCATTACGGCTCCCAAGGTTTAGTCCGACTCTTCTGATTCTTCTGTTTTCACGTCCTAGATTATAGGGGGCAGGTGGCCCTATGGGTAAAGTGTAATTTTTTTCCTACTCGCTCTTCATAGATAAGGAATTCTTACTAAAGATTCAGGTTTGAAACGATACGACACTGGGCACCTGTGTCAAAACATATCTCTGGGATCTCAAAAGCTCGAAGCATGACATTGACCTTCCAAGTGTCAAATCTGTAAATACAGTACAGGATGTGGAGTAAACAGCTACCGTACCATAAGGCACAAAAATACACTCTAGCATCTCTAGCATCAGCGTTTAGCATTTACTTGCCCGGAACATCGTTCCCTCGATATGAATTGAATTCGTATGATCTGCGATAACACATTTGACACTGGGAAGCTCGTCAAAAAATACATTTGCTAAAACTATAATTTGTAATTCGTGTGCAGCAGAGATTCAGACCGTGACGACCAAAGTAAATGATTATGATGACATGAGAATATTCCCCCGAGAGCTGTGGCCTAGAAATGGTTTTTAACATACAATCGATACATTTATCTTAAAATATTAGATTCTGTGAAATACCAAGACTAAAAACTCGACTTTTCTGAATTTATCATGCTTAATTACGATGACAATTAGTCAAATTAAATGGGTTCTTTTAGTAATCTTTATCACGCCACTGATTTGATTCTGTTCAAATAGATTCTGGTTTAAATAGAGTTTTACCTCTAGACTTCCCAAACAGCAATTACCTAACCTAAAATGTTAGGTAATTACGTTGTTAGCCTTTAACATTTTGATTACTACTGCTCTCAAATGATTTTTTTCGTATTTAGGGACTCTGACCTTCTTTTGTCTATCGCTGATGAAATTGATGTCGTCCTGCAGGAACTGCGACTGGATCTGGTACTCCAGGTTTCTGAGGAGAGCATTGTCAGCCTCCTGTGAAGAAAGAGGGGAAGAAAGGATCGAAGAGGTGAGACGCAGAGACTTTGAAAGGTTAGTCTTTACATCGTTACATTACACGACGATAATTTCATGATATTTAATGATATTCGGTTCAAACCTGGTTTAATTCTTCCAGTGTGCTACGTAGCCCTTCTTGGTAATCACATTCATTTTTATATCTGGGGAAAAAAAAAAAAAAAAGAAGTTCATGTGATTATACCAAACACGCCCAGGAGTCACAACAATAAAAACCATGCTGTTCATGCAAAATTATACGTTTTAAAAGACAGTATCTCTGCTCCTTCCTGTGATTATACCAAACACGCCCAGGAGTTACAACAATAAAAACAATGCTGTTCATGCAAAAAATCCATTAAACGTTCTAAAAGACAGTATCTCTGCTCCTTCACGTCAACATCGTCCCAGTGGGTCAGCTGCTAAAACAAAGCAAATTAAGTCTGGTTAAGGCCGTCTCTCTTCACCAGCTGATAAAACCTCCGTCCTTTAACATCGTAAGGAGGCTTTTCTACTGTGGACCGATGTGATTACATGATTCATCTTCGGTCTTTGTCGAGACGTCGTCTCTTCTCATCAGGTTCACGTTATTAACATGTCTCTCAAACACTTGATTTAGTCAATTTTATGAATTTCAGACAGACGATTATAAAGTCCATGTGTCTGTCTTCCCTGTATGTATTAATAGTCATATAAACTGGAGAAGCCACAGTATACATGGTAATACATTCAGGTAAAGGTAAAGGTTAACATTAAGTGGTTGCAACAAGACTTGTAGGCCAGGATTGTAAATGAAAAAAAGAAATCCTGTCCTTTTTAAGGATCTTCGACAAGTATTCGTTGAGAGCGTCCTAGGTTTGATTCCTACAGGAACCACAAGCTTGACAATGTCCTCCCTGTGAGTCACTTTGGCTGAAAGTCTAGATGTCTAGATGTTATGTAATGTAATCATTTCTGATGACTTTGACCTCTGAGGGTTAAGCAAAAAAAACCAATGACGGCTCACTCTCTTACTTGTCTGTTAATTCATCCAACAGGCAGCAGGCGTCCTTCAGCTCTTGCTCCAACTCGGCATGTTCCGAGGAGAGCTCTCTGATGTGCTGTCTGTTGACTCTAATCTGCTCCGTGAAGGCGTCCTCCCAGCCACTTGTCTCCTCAAGGCGCTGTAATGCCTCCAATTGCTTGCGAAACACAGCGTTGCGCTGCTCCAGGACTCGTGCCCTGTTGATGTACTGCGAAAAGCGGGAATTGAGCCCCTGAAGGCTCTGAGTGGCCGAGACGCTAGATGACTCTTGGGGTTCCTCATCTGTCACATCTGTGCGTTCATACTTCTCCTTGCGCACTTCGTGCAGGTAGCTGGTCCTAAACATGGTGGTACACGGCTCCCCTTCCGGGCGGATGGTGTCTCTCGAGGGCTTTAAGCTTTCAGCACCTCTATGGTGTGAATGTCCGGATGCTCACCCTTAGCGTCTCATTCTACACTGAAAGCTACACGGCGCTGGCTGCTGCCGAAATATGCCCCCAAACCTCATGTGGCCGTGACAGTGCATTTTTCCCAGGTCGGGGACCTTCCACGGAGTATTGTTGCTTTTGTGGCAGAGATTTCAAAGGCTTTGCTCTGAACAAAGCGCAGCACAAACACAAATGTTTGACTGGGCCTGGAAACCACTGGGCTGTCGTGCACTGAATGTGTGCCTCTCAGTCAGCTGCTTTCTTTAACTACTTTCTGTTGTGTTGTGTAGCACTCGCTGTACTCGCTTCGAAAACAACAACGAACGTTCCCAGCCTCGTGTCCCAGTAAACACTGCAGGAAATGTTCGAGCGACATTTTCTCTCTGAGACTAGATTAGATTCATGTTTTTGCTCATTTCTTTCATATGCAAGTGGCACTATTAAGGCAAATAGGGTTGGTTAGGGCAAGTAAGTACCGTGTTGAGGGAACGTGATTCCTTTTGAAAACGTTCAGCTATTGCTATTTCCCCACGATGCCTCAGCCAAGTATATTCCTTCCTCTTAATAAGCAACTCTGATAGCACTTAACTCCGGCCTTGTTTATCTTCATGTCTACGTACGGGGCGCTATCAGTCATTGTTTCGGTGCATACATTAAATATGAGCGTGAGTCATGTATGAATTACTCCTACAGTGTTCGGCTCTAACACTCTATTAAATGAACAGAACACACATACAGTTTATATATGTAGTATATATATATATATATATTTATATATATATATATATATATATACACCCTGCTTTCAGCTTTTTATTTCAAAAATGTATACTGGAAATAATCATTTATTTACACGTCTGTATTAGGTGGAAAAATACCACTTTGAAAGAAACACTCCAATCTGTTATTTTTTAAATGTTCTTTATCTCACACTCCCCCTACTGGCACCACACTTTGGGAATCTCTGCACTAATACATAGCAATATTAATACAGCAAACCTTTCTGTAACACAAATCATTTAGAGCATATGCGGCAAACTCAAGGCCTGGGGGCCAAATGCGGTCTGCCAAGCCATTTTGTGCGGCCCGCTATGTTGTGTTATATCTTTACGTATTATTTTTGACAATTTCCCATTATTCGCTTCCATAGTGTAGTGGTTGTCCTGCCTGCTTACATGTAGAAGGTTCTGGGTTTGAGTCCCAGAGGAACCACATACTCCGCACCTTTCTTGGTTAGCCTGTAGCAAGAGGTCCGCTGTTAACGCGACAATTTCCCCAGTGTGGAATCGCTAGTGTAATGATCTGGAAAATGTGAATCGTTGGACACGCTTTGTTTAAACACGTTCAAACGAACCAATGAAGGCCTCTGGTGTACAACACATTTGTGATGCGGTGCTAAATTAGCCGTTAAAGGAGGCGAGCAGTTGATAAGGCTGTAAAACGTTGTGATCAAAAAATGAAACACAAATGTCTGCGTCATCACATAAAAGCCAGTGGACAATTATAATTATGTAGAACTAGCTCAAATGGGGTTTTACGGATGTAAATTACCATTATAAATAACATAGAACGCACCGTTGTTGACAGATAAAAAAGCACCGTCACGACGAGAGAGCCAACGTTTTGCCACCACAGGCTCCAGGTCATATATTAGGATGGATTTTGTTTCAAAGCCACTTGTTCTACTGAACACGGTCACCAATAAATCGTCTCACTCAGCAGCTGGTAACCTTTTCACAGGCTTTCTAAATACCAGGTTTTTGTGCATATTCTTCACGTACCGGGAGCTAACGCCGCCACTGACGTCTCTTCTATCTATATTCATTGTTACGAGCGACAATAAATCTGACGCCTGCTGAGATTACAGGGTTGTCTGGTTGGAAATGGAAGTGTGGTGGGTATTAGCTCTTCAGTCCTCATGGGCTACAGCACGGCCCTACATGTAAAGCTCCAACTATATAAGGGTAATAAAAACATATGAGAATTCAATACGTCTAATGCATCCAGTGATAGTTTTTTTTTTTTTAAGAAATCAATATTGTTTTGTTTTTTTCTAGCACCCGCACTGGAACAACAATAAAGCAGCTGCTGACAAGTCACTGTCGCAGCCACCAGGATCAATGGCAGCAGATAGCTATCAAAATAAAAAATGGCTCCTCACACGTAATCAGTGCAGCTGTCTGTACTTGTTCATCAAATATTTGTGACGGTTGATGGACTCGGGCGGTGCAGGACTGCATTCTGTATCCGTTCAAGGCGAACGGTTGAACGGTCGGTTCAGTCACAGTAATTAATTAGTCTTACAGTTACAGTTACAGGCCTAATTAAAGCACAGCAGTTGAGTATAAATGCAACCGTTATTTTGAAACATGCCTATTAGTGGTTGGGGGTTTAGTGTGGAAAACTATGACAACTAATGACCATGACTCGCTGCATCAGGCTGACAAGTGACATTTCACATGTTTATATCACATGTTTTTGCAGGCATGATATATAAAAAAAAAATCCATATAAACACAGAACAAATGAAAAGTCAAAATCGTTTTCTTTCAAGCACTAGTTAAACCAGAAACTTTATCTCATGCCCCTGACATTAGAGGGGTGGTCAGTATCTAATAAGGGATTTGGAACAGCAAGTAAAACCAGTTATTCAAGGTTAAATTTTTTTTTTTTAACTGACTGAGCTCTGCATTCATGCCGATTTAAAAACCTGAAATAGACCAGTATTTTCAAGATTTTCTGGTCATGTCCGAGGCAGACACCAGACCTTGAGGTGTTGTACCACTGGCTTAAATTCATTGAATCCTAAGGATAATTGTCATATACGCACGATTGGGGTGTGAATCACGTCCTCTGGTGTAGCACAGATGGGTAAATATATATATATATATATATATATATATATATATATATCATGTGCTGTAGATGCATACAGCACTGTCAAAACATTAGAAATAATGCAAGTAACCATGACTCTCTGTATTCCCCTGACCAACAGAAAAATGTAAATTTCCTCCATCCATCTTCAGCACAAAAGCGTAACGCGAGGAGACACGGCGCTGAATATGTCAGACCTGAACACGTGCTTTTTTTATTTAACAAGCCTTTTGGCTCAATGTTTCAAATCACTTTCCTTTTTTTTTTTTTTTTTCTGTCCCCAGTGAGTGCCTCGTCTCTCAGGCTGGCTTCTAACCTCTGCACTGCGCTATGTAAGTACATTACACAGCCATGATCCAACAAACTGAGTTTCCCCTTTTAGGGAACATCAATGCGATAAATGAAATGGCCAGAACAATGAAAACTGAGATCAACTGCGGACTAATTGCATGTGAGAATGTCACCTTGCCCCCATTGATGTGCTTCTGTGTTCTGTCTGAACAGAATGGGAAATGGGAAAGGTTACGACCCTCTAACTTAATCTCCATCCTGTGCAGGGTTTTTTTTTCTAGACATCAATTTACCTGGTGAACTCTATTGTCTTGCTTATATAAATGCACCCTCCCCCTCTCCACACGGCCACACTAGCGTATTATTACTTTTTATTTCTCATTTGCAATATCTTTGATTTAAGCCATTTATTACATTTTTTTTTTTTTTTTTTTTGGTGAACCACTTTGACTTTTGGTCATTCCATTAAAATCTTTAATTTTTATTTTTTTTCAAATATGGTCGAATAAGGTTTGTGTCAATATATTATTAAATGACATTGAGTTTATGTCAGTACGAAGGTCAATTCGATCATAAAACAAATAATCAAACACCTCCTGATTTGTATTCATATTAGGAATATATTAATTAATATTCTTAACATGAGCTGCTATTGCACTGGCAGAAGTCAGATTAAGTCATTGACATAATATTAATATATAATATGAAGTATAATGAATATTAAGTACTATATAAATATATTAAATGTAAATATTAATATTCCACTCGAACGGTGCTTGAGTTGTTAGGGCTCTTGCTTTTACAGTTGAAAAAAATAACTGTTTAACTGGAGTGTGTGTGTATGTGTGTTTGTGTGAATGAATGGTTGTTTGTCTCTAATATGCCTAATGACTTCTGCGATTGGCTCCAACTCCCCCGTGATCCTGAAGACTATTAACCAGCAGAAAAAAAATAAACAAACTTTAAAAAACAAAACTTTGGATCCCCCATGTGTCACATTTACTAAAAACTCATCATATAATTCCTGTAATGACCTCCCGTACCACTAGAGGTCCACGTACCCCAGTTGGGAAACAAATCATCTTGACTGTGAAAAGTGGTTCTGCCTCATTAGGACTAGAATTTGATATGAAATCCTAAATGAGAACAATGGAAAACCAATCACAAGTCAGCGACGTATTAAAGAACGCACGCACACACACCGAGCCACTTGTTTCCTCGGTCTTCGTCTGTTGTCTAAAGGAGAGATAATTAGGAGAGGAGACGAGGGGAGAGGAGAGGAGACGAGAGGAGGGGGATAGGAGAGGAGAGCAGACCAGTGAGGGCAGATGCGCGCAGCTGTTGTGTCGTCCACACTTACATGGAAACCACCGCGTTTTCACGGATTGCCACGAGGACAGAACAACTACATTCATTTTCAGGTAGGTTTCATGTCATTTTTTTTTTATTATTGGAATTTATCTTCAACAATACCATAATAACGCAACGAGAGTGTCAATTTCTTCAAACAAGAATATCCATGTGCAAAGTGTGTTGTGCAACAGATGTAAATATGTTTCTGCCTGTATAAATACCTGGAGTTGTTTAGTTTTTTTTACTAAAGTGTAACACTGTCAGAACAAAATGAGACCATTCACTCCTCACCCACTAAGAAAGTCTTTGTCTCTAAACAAATGTTTCCACAAAGGCAGTGTGGCTCACACACAAAAACAGGCTACTTCCCTGTTTAAATGTCAATTTAAATTCATAGACTGTTTTTGTCCTCCTCATGAGAGAAAAGCATAAAAAGCTCAGTGGCTTGAATGAGCCTGTTGTGATTTCACAAATAACAGCCAAAGATCTTTTATTCTGTGACCCACCACATACAGAGTGTAATATAGATAGATAGATCGAACGATCGATCGATCGATAGATAGACATTTACAGCATACCATAGAATTCTATATATCGTGTGTATATACACAGTATATCTATATATACAATGTAAATATAGATATGCTGAATATATATATATAAAAATATATATATGGGTATATGTATCTATATCTATACATATATGTGTGCATGTGTATAAATATATAGAGAGACACACATACCTTAATATATGTCTTAATTAAGGTGTCTGAATTTGTCATTGAATCCACATACTAATTGCTGGTGCACTCTGAGGTAGACGTAGAAGCTGTGCACAAGCTATGAGTTTTAAATAACAGAAAATGCTGCTCACACTGTGTTTAATGTATAAAATATATGGTGGAAAAACCAATATGATTATGTTTTATTTTTTATTATATACCTTGATAGAACTAGTGTTTCCCTGTAATCTGTGCTTCTTTGTCTGTGGTGAGTAAAGCTGCTGTTTTTCTTTTTTTTTAAGATGATAGGTTGCGTTGCCTGTGAGTTTGATGGTGGACCTAATTAGCCACTCATTCAGTGTTCGATTGTCTCGCCGAGCTCACTTTCTTCTGACGTCTTCAGTTGACAGTCGCATCCATCCAGTCTAGTATTACGGAGATCGTTCTCAAACATCTTCCATAAGAAGATCAATTTTTTTTTTTTTTGCCAGCATTTATCGTTTAACATTGAGCACTGTTTTAATCACCTATTGATTAAATGATGACTATTTGCATTTCATCTTCAGCTGGACTCATATTTAATGAAGAAGGCAGGACTATCTGTTACCAATCTCTCTAATTAAATTCTACACTGGCCGTCGCTATCATAACGACGACATCGTGTCAAACATGTCGGACCCCAACATCAGCAGCACGGTCGCAGCGCGCACAGAGATGCAGGACGGCCATCTGCCTGGTACGATGGATCAGTATGTGGATTACGACATGGACTACGGCATCCCTGCTGATGACATCCCAGACACTACACAAGGTCAGGCCTTCTACGTGGCCACCATTGTTATCGGCGCGGTGCTCGTTTGCATCATGCTCGTCTGTGGTTTGGGAAACTTCATATTCATCGCCACTTTGACGCGCTACAAAAAGCTCCGCAACCTCACCAACCTGCTTATTGCCAACCTGGCCATATCGGACTTCATTGTGGCAGTGGTATGCTGCCCGTTTCTGGTGGACTACTACGTGGTGAAACAGCTCTCCTGGAGCCACGGATTGTTGTTGTGCGCCTCTGTCAACTACTTGCGGGCCGTGTCACTCTACGTCTCCACAAATGCGTTGCTGGCCATTGCTATTGACCGGTGAGTCACTTCAGGATTCTATTCTTCCAAATGACATAAAAGCTTCTTCTCCTCCTATTTTTTCCTCCATTTAAAATGCAATGTCGATATTGACTTCACTGTATCACTGCTGCATGCTAAAACACAATGCAGGAGTAATGAGTTCCTGGGGAATGTTCAGCAGTACCAGCGCTGGTCTGTTCAGCATGCAACAGGTCTCCATCCACCTATCAAGTGTTCTAAAACAAGACAGATTGTACTCAATCCAGAAACTGTTGGTTTCAGAGCAAGTGCTTTGGAGCCTTTTTTGGCTCCTCTTTTAGCCAAGACCTGAGGCAGAGCTTTTACATTGGCTGGAACAAAATACAAACCAGGCCTGAATGCATCAGTGTTATACTAAAATTATAGCAAATATAGCACTACGTATAATGCTTCTTGCAAGTGTAAAAATTAAATGTGAATTACCTTGTAGTTAAAGATTACATTGACAACATCTGTACGGGAAAATCAAACAAACAGATATTTAATATAAGCAGTTTAGATGCAACAGCTAATTGACACCACAAAGCCTTCAGATGAGCTTACAAGGTAAACAATACGACACACACAGGGAACAGCCAGTTCATGTAGCTGATGAAGGTAATACGAGAAAATGCAGTTTATGCCACACGGCAGCTTGTACTATACAGATGGACACTAGGTGTTGCTGTAGCATCTGACCCAAGCAAGTGCCTTTCTGAAAGTTAGTTTCATTTTTAGGTATTTTTTTTTTTTACAATCAATTAATTTTTGCTTGATAGCATGTAATAATAATAATGCCCTAAAATGCCCCTCCCTCCTCTTCCTCTGTCAACGTGAGCTGTTCCTCCTTCCTATTTTGATCATAAAAATCTTAAAAGCAGTGCATTACTTATTACAACTACACAAAGTGGTTTGGCTTTGAACTCAATCAGACATGAAGCCATATTAGCTAATTCTGTTATTTTGTACAAACCATAAGTTATTTCTATGTCACAAAACTTGCAGTGTGATCTTGTATTCACCGTAATAGGCCACTATTCAAACTTTGATTCGATTGTCTGCGGACCACAGTTATGACCCCAAAATGTCCCGTACACAAAACTGATTGATTTCCCCTCCATGTACACATGATGACATTGATGGCAAATGTGCGTTGTTCATCAGCTGTGGGCTGACATCAGTGCATGGACGCGGTGTGTTGTAGTGACCTGGTGGATGGGTGGATGTTCGTCAGTCTAACTCCACGCTGACATCAGTGCATGGACGCGGTGTGTGGTAGTGACCTGTGCTGGTCATGTCCTAGTAGCTGGTTGTACATCCATTGCCTACAGATAATCATATATTTATAATTGGTGGATGTTCGTCAGTCTAACTCCACTTTTTAATTACCAAAAGCGCCTGAAGATATAACAATAAATTGCATCCATATGTCCGGATTGAATACTTCATTTTCTCTCAACAGTTCTGGACCAGCTCCAGTCTAGTGTTGCTTCAGTTTATATAGTATATGTATTAACTGTTTTGCGCATTAAGTAGCTTATATTAGTATTTATTTATTTGTCTGTTACCATGCTGGGCATCTAACTGGTTACGTATTATGGTCATGAATGAAGATTTGCATGATCGCGTCAACAAAATGCTTCAACATATTCAACATTTTTACACACACAAGGCTGTTGATTGCTACACCAGTGACCCCTCGTTGCGGAGGCACAGTTGAAACAGTATAGATTATCACTTTATCACCGAGAGACTCGGCTCGGAAGGACATATTAATCATCTTTGAGCCATCAGATTCGACAACACTGATTGGATGGATCTTGTGTCAGCAACAGGTCAGCAGTAGGCATGTCAAAATGGCACGCTGTGGTACATTTTAATCACGCACAAGTTAGTCTTGTTTATTTTTAAAATTATTCATCCTTTATTTAGCCAATTTATTTTTTATTCTCTTTTTTATTACTCATGTTAACATATTTTAATTTTTTTTTTTTTACCAAAATCTTGAATTTAATGGAAGAGGATTGGAACAGATAAAAGAACAGGTAAAAAGACTGAAAAAGAGAGAGACCCAGAGCTGCTTAAAAAAAAAACATTTGTGTCTTTCTTCAATTCCTGCTACTATATAAGCATTGTGTTCAGCTAAACAGACATGTTTTTACACTTATTTACAAAATAGTTTTTCTATTAAAAGACAGGGATAAAAATTCTACCTGTACTTCATACAGTAAATGTGCTTGATGTCAGGATTAAAACCATATTTCACTCAAATGATTTGACCTTGTTGATTCTCCACATCTCCCTATGTCAAATATATCTGTTTTTTTTTTCAGGTATATGGCTATAGTTCATCCTCTCCGACCTCGTATGAAGTACCAAACTGCCTACTGGCTGATGACAGGAGTCTGGATTGTTCCAATTCTGATTTCAATTCCCTCTGCCTATTTTGCATCTGCGACAACGTACCCTCAAGGGGGCACTACACCCACCATTCACAAAGTCTTCTGTGCCCAGATCTGGCCTGTCGAGAAGCAGGTTTACTACCGTTCCTACTTCTTGATTGTTTTTGCCGTCGAGTTCGTCGGGCCGGTGATCGTCATGGCGATGTGCTATGCGCAAATCTCAAGAGAGCTTTGGTTCAAGAACGTCCCGGGTTTTCAAACAGAGCAGATAAGAAAGAGGCTGCGTCATCGCCGTAAGACCGTGATGGTCCTCATCGGGATATTGACGGCATATATCTTGTGTTGGGCGCCGTATTACGGCTACGCCATCCTGCGGGACTTCCACCCAACGTTGATCTCCCGGCAGAAGAATTCGTTGGTGGCTTTTTACATCATTGAGTGCATCGCCATGAGCAACAGCATGATCAACACCTTTTGCTTTGTCAGTGTCAAAAACAACACGGTGAAGAACTTGAAGAAAATCGTGCTGCTGCACTGGAGGTCAACGTATGCCCCCAGTAAGACTTTGGATGAAATAGACGTGAGGACCTTCACCATGCCTGTGATCGAGGAAACGGAATGTATTCACCTTAGGTGAGGAACGGAACGTGCGTTAAAGTGAATTCAGACATAGATGAAGAAACGGAGGACATAGAAGAGACGCATTACATTCCTGTCCGTTTTGAAAAAGTATTTTAAAAAGCTTGAAACTAACAAAATCTTAAGGTCCACAGCTGAGCTTAACTGACTTTCATGTGTAGCAAATGGCCCCCGAGTGTGTGTTTTAATGTGAAATTATTAGTGTGATGTGTCAAATGTTTTAAAAGACTTGAAAATAACTGCTACTAATTTACGCTTGGCCACCTACTGGACATGAGGGTGTTTTTATTATCTGTAATTTTGTGGTTGAACAACAGTATTGAGGCCAATGTCTGTATGCGATGACCTTGTTATTTAACTTTTGTGTGTACTGTGTTGTTTGTAGAGTGCCATAAAATTGTATATTTAACTTTTGTGTGTACTGTGTTGTATATGCTGTCTGTAGAGTGCCATAAAATTGTGTATTATAGAGTACTGTGTGTATTTATACAATATTCCATCTATATTTAGGACTCGTTTTACCTGCCTTTTTCACATTTAAATGTAAAAAAAAAAATTCACATTCAGACCCTTGCAGATCTTATGCTCATAAAACATGATGCTAAAAAAGATGACTCCGACTTGTTATTTGTATGTCGTCTTGCATCTTCCAACGTAGTGTACCCACAACATTCTACTGCGCTGTGGACAGGGTTAACATCCGACATGTCACATATACTCCAGTAATATCACCTGACCAATACTATCGGCCAGATATTAGCATAATTACATAACATCTGTAAGAACCCTCATCCGTTTTTCATCTGACAATGAAGACCCCGATTAGGCAATAACCTTTCTGCCTCATTAGCCTCATTCCGAGTATCTCAATTAGCAATTCAACAATTAGCTCTGTCATGTTTCTCACATATGGAGTCATTCCACTCATGTTTAGTATGCAAACAACTGGTGAAGCCTGTCACATTTTATGCTAATTTCAGCACTGTGGAATGTTTGTTAATTATTATTTATTAACAAAGTCTGTGCCTGGTTTTCGCAATGATTCTACAAACCCTGAAGTGTCAGTGAATACAAACAATTCTACCAGTGTTTTAAAGAGTTGCAGCGGACCGGTAAATAGAACTGAGAGCAAAGAGAATGGATAGCATAGGAAGGTGCACTTTGATTGTTGATAATATTATGAGCTGTTGCTTTTTATTGTGGAGAGAAAAAAAAGAATAGTTCCTTTAAGTCTAAAACCAGGCGAGGGCAAACTACGGCCCGGGGGCCGGATGTGGCCCGTTTTGCTTTTTGATCCGGCCCACCAAACTTGTCCTAATTATATAATTAATTTAAATTATCATTATACTTAAGATTGGATTTTTCTCTTATCATTGTTAGTATTGTGTTCGTCATGACGACAGGCCACTGGTTGCATGTCACTGTACCTTTGGAGGCGATTGGACACTTTGGATTAGTTAATTTTCTCTACTGTCTGGATCTTTTCATCATTTATACCTGCCACGAATTACTGGAGTCAGTACAGGCTGCGTTTGAAACAGCTCTCGTTTGGAAAATTATGCTTAAATGAATTTCTGTTTGGGCACAAATGGTGAACTTCACATGTTCATTTTTGGTTCTAAAGATTTAAACAACACCCAATTTTCTGTGTCCTGTGCCTCCCTCACCCTGTCTTTGTTGGCTCATTGTTGCTTGTAGCTCTGGCTGTGTGTGTAGTTGTGTTCTTGCTCATGTTTGCTCCAGGTTCTTGTCTTTTTGGAGAACAGCAGCTGTGGATATAGATTAGTTTCACTCTAAAGTTGACCTCATCCCTCTGTTTAAAAAAAAACGTCTCTTAGGACCTACGTTGGCTTCTTGGACGTGCTGCAAGTGTAAGACTTTCTGAATTCACTCCATTTGAAATGCGTCGTGAACGGGCTGTTTATCCACAGTCCCTGGAAGGGAAAGAAAATAATCTTTTTAACCACACTCCTCCATTCCAGGAAGCAACGAAGGTACAAATGGTAGATGTTGCCCTGAGCCAGCATGTTCAATAGACAAACAGTCATCAGTGCAGTGCTGTTGAGGCCACATTTGTGGATAGCAATTTAATGTGATATTTTTTTTTACTTCTTTCTAACCTCAAATGGCCCACAGCTCTGTGGTCGAAGGGGCATCCTTTGACAGGAAATCATTGGCTTTTCAGGAATAATGATTGCGTTTTCAGGTTTACTTTTACTCTCATTGGAGAACAATTGGATCAATAGTCATCCTTTAACACCATAAATAAATAACCGTCCGATGACCTTTGTGCTGTGCAGTCCGTAAAGTTCAGCACTTGCGTTATTTGTAAGCGTCCTGTTCAGCCAAATGTTTATACTGTTATAAACAGTTGCCATTTGCACCGGATATGTGTGACATTTCAGTGCTTGCTGTCGAAGTGCAGACAGACTATAATGGCAAATGTAATTTTGCAAACAATGGGTTTGCATTGACTTTACAACTTGGCTTACTTTTTATTTATTTTGGGGGTGGAGTGAATGTATTTACAGTTTAAATGTTATTGTTAAATGCTTTAGAAATTCTAGGCGTTAGATGTGTTCTTCACACGGCACTAGATGGTATTGTTGGGCTGCAATTATTATATTCTATGACGCTAACTCTTGCAACAAGTTAATAGAATGAATGTGATTTTCCCCTTTTCCTAACTCTTGCAACAAGTTAATAGAATGTGATTTTCCCCCTTTTTTCTGCCTTGAGCTGTTCTCTTCTCCCTCTCTTCACCTTTCAACCTCTCTCTCTCATTCACACACACACAACCACTGCCCTGATGACGCAATTTATGACGCTCTCGTCATGACAACAGGACGCCGAGGTTCCTCTCTTCCTCCAAATCTCAACAGCGGACTTGTCGCTTAACACGCATGCGCACATTACCAAAACAATGTTCTGCGTGTGCGGCTCCCGGAAATGGTAGATAAGCAGTGTAAACGTTAGCGCTTGGAAACTGCCAGGTATATCTTATTAGGTAGTAAATTATAGCCATATATGTTGTTTATCCGAAATATATGTACCGCGGCAGTACAGCTCGCTAAGGTGAAAACACGCTGAATTTGCGCTTTTTGTAAAAAAAGAAAAATGGCTGCAAATGTTTTAAGTAATTGGTAATTTAGCACAGATTACTACGCCGCTGAGTGAGTGTGCTAACCAGAGTTAACGGTGAGGTAAGGTAAGTTAGCACGCACGTACAGAGACAAACGTTGGTTCTCCGGCACAATTTCTGATTTATTACAATTGCATTTATGTGTCGAGGTTCACAGCCCCACCATGGAAAAAAAGTGGGAGGACATTTTCAACTATTTATCCCATGGGACATACCCACCGGAGATGAAAAGAGGACAGAGGCAGTCGCTCAGAAAATACTCCGCCAAATTCAGCGTTGAAGGTTAGCATTTTGGTTCAAAAGCACAACAGTATTCCCAACTAGAGTCCCGGTGACGTGTTTGTATTTTATGATACCATACAGGTGAGATACTTTACTTTGGCCATGTCATTCGAAGAAGAGTTATAAAGACAAAAGATGAGGCCAAGAGTATTTTTGAGGAATTCCACACTTCACCCACCGGAGGACACACGGGTATATTAAAAACAAGAACTGCTCTGTGTTCTAGGTTCTACTGGTACGGCATGACAGCAGACATTAAGAAATGGGTACGTGGTCTTTCCTGTTAGTAGCCTCTTCATTAAGTACACTAAGTGCGCCATTTTATCTGTAAACCTGTAAAACTGTACTGTTGTTTTTAAAGGTGTCTGGTTGTGACAGGTGTCAAAAGTATGAACAGGCTTTGGGAACAGTTGAAAAAACAGATTGCCCTAAGGTCAACGTTGCAAAACATTATTTTTTATATATATGTAATGTATTTGTCTGAAGCATTCGTGCAGTGTAATGTAATAATGTTGTCATTTACTGACAGGCGTCTGGTGTGTGGGATGTTGTTGTGATCGACTTCACAGGCCCACTCCCTAAAACCTCCTCTGGCTTTCAGTACATTTTAACAGCCACGGACTGTTTTTCCAAGTGGGTGGAGGCCTTCCCTCAGAGCTCGGAGTCTGCAGCCGAGGTGTCAAAAAACCTGTGTACGCTCATATACAGATACGGCTGTCCTCGGTGCATATTGTCACGAAAGAAGCAGGACTTTGTAAATGAAGTAAGTGTAACTTTTCATCTCAGTTGTTTTTTTTTTGTTTTTTTGCAAACTACACGGTAAGAATTTTCAAAAGTTGCATTTTCCTATTATATCTTATTATAGAGAAATATCACTGATAGTTAGGCAATGCCATGTTGATCTTCAAGCCTGAAACCCCTCTCTGCCTCCCCTCTAAAATTTCTGCCGTTCACAGCTGAAGAACAACATAGTTCTCTTTGAACCTGCTTTGTCAAATTAAATGCGGGATTTCAAAGGGAAAAATGAAGTAAACAGAGTGAAATCATTGCATCACTGTTTGTTGGCTGTGCAGGTTTTTGTTTCAGGCCGCTCTGAAAACTTGACCCCAAAAAGCTTCTTGATATACATATGTGCAGTATGTGAGTTTAAACATTCAGAAAAGTGGTGTTGTCTCAGCATTTGTTGTTTTACAATGGGAATTCCTCAAGTTCTGAAATGTAGTTTGGTTTGACCTTCTACAAAATGTAACTGTCATTTTTCTTTTTATGTCCCTCTTTGAGGTTAACATGAAACTTGTTCAAATGCTGTCAATCGGAGAGACTACGATTGTCGCACATCACGTACAACCAAATGTTTTCGTGGAGAAGATTAACGACTATAGCGCATTTGAAAAGCTGGTAAATGAGCAGCAGGAGAATTGGGACCAACACCTCGATGAGAGGCTGTTTACACTGCGATCCACCACTCAAACCATCAACCAGTATTCTCCATTTTTTTTAATGTATGGAAGAGACGCAAGATTCTTCTTCTGAAAAGCCTGTCATATGTAAGTATTTGTCTTGTTGTCTGTCTCTCTCTATATATACTATAACTATAAACTATAAATATATATATATATATATAAAGTTCAAATATACTTGGTTAAAAAAAAACTAAATGTTACATTGTATATATGTGAAAAATTCTACAGACTTAAATGTTTTGACACAAGTGTAAAAAAATGTGGGGGAAAAAATGGTTCGATTTTCTATATTTCAACAAGTTGTTGTTGGTCTTTTGTTTTCTACAGCGTTTGTTTTGTTGACCTCAAATTTCCGATTGTTCGCCTCGTTCTGTTTTCCTCATGCAGAAGTGCTTCGTTACGATAATGTAGAAACTTCCAAGACATTTCAAAAAGTACTCGGGTGTATTTCAAAATATTTCAACACGTGAAGTTTCAATCCTAGCAGTATACTAGTTAATCTAAATTACTGAT